GCCCTCCGGCTGAACTGGATGGAGAAGAGGAGAGAAAGCGTGTTACTCTCTGCGCAGGCAGCTTCGCTCCGCTCCCCGACGGCCAACGGCGCGCGCCCTGCCTGCGGGTGTGCTGGGTCCTTGCGGGAGCCGGTGGCGCGGCAGCTTTTTTTCTGAGCTCAACTGTCCTCACACCTCCCAGAGGTCGAGCGCAGTCACCGCAGGGGCCCGCGGCACTGGCCGCAGCTTCCGGTCCCTGGCCCTCGCCCTCGCGCGTGCGCAGAAGCGCCGGGCTCGCGAGCCGCGCCCCCTGGGTTCCGGGAGGTTCTTTAGGCCCCTTCCTCCCAGGGGCTCGGAGGACACCTCGAGGAGGATGGTGGCTGCGCAAGGTCCCACCTCCTGTCTTGACCTCTGCAGCAGGGTGCTTTCCGTGTGGCACTGAGTCCTGAGGACCTGCCCCAGGCGCATGGCCTCGATCTGTTTTCAGTTCATGCCCCTCAGCTGCAACTGCGCGGTTTTGCAGATTCAGAGCATTGGGAACCACCTGAGAGATCATTTAGGGCAGCGTTGCTCAAACTTAAGAAAATCCATAAGACACTGTTTCTTATAGTAAAATCTTTTGCCGAAGTCCAAAATCCAAAAGAGAAAATGGGTTGAGGCACAGAAGTCATAACGACTGAGGCCTCCGTTCTGGAAGTCCTTCCACCCTCTGCCCATGCCATGGCCACCCCCAGCCCCAGCCCCTCCAAGAAATGCAGGGTCTGCAGGGCACTAGGTGAAAACCCACGCTCTGGGCCAACCCTCCCTCGTACTGATAAGCAAACAGGTTTGAAGAGAAAAGGCTGGCCGAGCATGGGTCAGAAGTTGGACAGCAGAATCTGGAAAGAGATCCCCACCTCCCTGCTCTTCACTGCCTGAAGCATAACCCCCTTTCCTGCCAGCAGAAACCCTGCCCTGGGACGCTTTGATGTTCATACATCTGTATGTCTCCTCACTAAGGGGCCAGCACTAGGCTCACCATCCCACTCTGTCCCACTCAGCCAGACATCCCCCCCTTCCCCACCCCCCCGCAGTGGGCACACTTGGCTGGTCCCATGCACACCATGACTCAGGGTACCACCCACACTTGAGACTTTCCAGCATCAAGGCCCTCTGAACATCCACCGAGCTGGGGAGCCCATGCCCTCCCCCCAGAGGCCAGTGGTACCCACCTTCGCTCTCAGGAACAGGGCAGTGACAATGACACCATAGATGAAGAGGATCCCATCCAACAGGTAGCATAGTTTAGGATCGAGCAGGCCGAAGCTCTGTGCCGCTGTGTGGAGAGATGAGATTGGTCAGCCAGGCTCAGGTGATGGAACATGCCCTCACAACCCCCGGGGGCGGGGGACCCCTGAAGTGTCAAGGAAATCACGACAGGGTGCTGGGTCTACTCTGCATACCCCACCTACACAACCTCTCTCCCCACCTTGGACCAGCCCTTGGGAAAACCTAACCTGCTCCAACAGTGGACATGGCACCCGGTAGGGCCACAAAGGCTGGAAGGCAGGAAGGTGAATGGAAGGTGAAATTGTCCACTGTGCACAGGGCGGCTGCCTCACGGCACGGGAGCCCAGCTGGGTGTGAGCCCCATCTGAACCACGCATTCCGGAAGCCACCCCAAATTACCAAGGGGCCCCTAATCCCTACTGCCATAACAACCTTGGTCAAACTGTCCTATGCAAACTGGAGTACAGTGGAGTTGGGGAAAGAGGTACGGTAAATATTCTGGTTAAATAAAAGTTAGCATTTCTACTTGAAAGCTCACTGCACTATGAGTGAGGAGACACGGATTTCAGTCTAGAGTGTTCTTCCTACCACGTATGTGTGCAGCAACTCAGGTGTAAAACGGGGCGTAGTAGGCGTCTCACTCAGCCCCTGCCTGGTATCAGAGAAGCAGCGGTCCCGCGGCCACAGTCTCTCCCGGGCCCGGGGCGCCCTCCCATGGCCGCCTGCAGGACTACGTCGGGGCTACGGGAATGGGATAACGTGCACTGGAACAAGGTCTCATCCTTACTAGTTTTGTGACTTGGGGCAGGTTATTTACCCTATTTCAGCTGCCTCTTCTCTTGACCAGGGTGAAAACTGTAACATTTCTTTAGTGTTTACTCGGTGCCGGACACCGCTTTGATGTAATAACCTGTCAGATCCTCCCAACAGCCCCACACAGACACACGGAGGCACAGAGAAGCTCAGGTTTCACCAGGAGCACGCACACAGCAAATGAGAAGCATCCCAGGACAGCCCAGGCAGCATGTCTCCTCTCCTTTCCCCCACCTGCTTCTGCCACAAGCCCTGGGAGCAGGTGATGCAAGGCTGCTCCAGAGTCCCCACCTCCACCTCGTGACTCCCTCTGTCCTCAAACCTTTGACTCCTTCCCTAACTCTGGGGCCCTCCTGGCGCCGGGCAGCTGATCTCTTTGTAAACTTCCCATAGCCCCTTCTCAGAAACCATCCACGAGCCAGTCTTCCTGAGCAAAGTCCAGTCCTGACTTGGCAGCCCAGGTCCAGGCCCCAGCATGCCTTCTCCCCACACTGCCCCACCTGCCTTTGCTGGGGCTGGTTCCTCTTCCCCACCTACCATTGCTAGCACAGCCCGCTCCAGTCAGCTGCTGGAATGGGACTCAGGTTCTGCCATCACAGCCCCTAGTGAGAATTCAGTGTGCTGATGGATTGATGGATTATGAAATTCCCCTCCATCTAGGCTGGAGTAAGTGCTGGAGAACAATGGCGGCATCTTCTTCATGCTTGCCTCTTCCTTCACCCCCAGCAACAGAGCACAGAGCACAGGGGAGACATTCATTAGCTATATGGAATTGTCAGGGAAGATGCCAGGCCCCCTACACGAGGTTGGCCTGCCTTCTGGCCCTGAGGCAGTGCTGGAAGCCCCTGCTGACCAAAGGTGGGTGTCCAAAGTCCTCGAGGAGACAAGCCAGCACCCAGCAAAGGCCACCAAAGCTGGGGTGAGTGTTTTTCGTTTTAGGACTGGAGAGGAGGTGACAGCGGCAATTTATGGGGGTGGTTGAGATTCAGAAAAAGGGCTGGGAGACAATTGCTCAGTTGCCTGTCACATAAAATGAGAAGAGAAAAATTACCGGACAGTAAATTTATAACAAACAAGAAGAAATATTTCTTGGTGTTGTGCAGAGCCAGTGCAGTGGGGGAGGGGATTGGGCGCCTCCCCAGAGATAAGTAATAGAAAAAGGTTTTCTTTCTTTCTTCCTTTTCAAAGAGCAGCATGATTTTATGACCAAAGACAGGTGTGCTATGTGTGGTTTGGTCGAGGAAAGGGTATTAATAGCCACACGCTTCCCAGGGTAGGAAGCTTCCCTCTGCCTAGTCCAGCTGTGCCCGTGCAGGGAGGAACGGGACTGAGGAAGGCTGTGATCATCCAGAAAGCTCCCTGAAGGGACCCAGGACCTAATTCAATCACGTGACTAATTAACTATTTATTGACCTTTTGCTTGATGTCAGGGGATATTGAAATAGAAAGAGCCCTGGATTGGGTATCAGATGTGTTCTAGTCCTTCCCCTGCCACTAAGTAGCTGTGTGGTCTTGGGCAAGTCCCCTTACCTCTCTGGGCCTCAGTTTCACCATGTGTAAAATGGTGGATAATCATGTCTATCTTAAGGGTGTGGTGAGAATCAAATGAGAGAATGTATTGGTAGGTGTTTTTGTAAATTTCCTCCATAAGGCTAACGATGTCTAGCATTTGGGTAGGGTCTTCTGAGTCCCTGCTCTCATGGAGCTTATGGCTTAGCTCATGAGGCCACACGCAGGGTGGAGGGGCTTCCCTTGAACAGCAGGCAGCTTTCCAAAATGACAACTCAAAGGCAGGAGCCACAGACACTCCCGGTTCCAGCTTCTTCCCAGCCCCCCACCATCCCCAAGGCAGAGACCTGTTCGCCTCCGTCCGTGAGCCATTTGTCACGCTGTTTCTATACCCACCACATTCGGTCCCGAAGAGAGGTATTTAATGGGGTTATATGGTGGCTGTTTTCCTAGACAAGTGGAGAAGCTGTTTTACTTCACGCTTCCCATCCCCTGTCCCAAGTCCACAGCACCCCCAGAGAACCCCAGCATTTGAACAAGTACCCAGATACTGATTGAGCGTTCTCGCTCTCAATCCTGGCTGCATATTAGAATTAGCCCACTCCCTTATGCCCCCAGGTTCTCATTTAACTGGTCTGGGGTAGGGCCTGGGCATGAGCATGGGCCAGTGCACAGCAGGGTTGAGATTCAGAGCTGCCGCATCACTCGGGTGCAGCCTCCTATAGTGATACAGCCATACCCTATAACAAGTATAAATTCCATGCCAAACAGAGAGAAAGAACAAAATTAAAGACTCACATGCACTGTAAGTTTTGTGTACTTCTGAACTGTGTATTATTGAACTTCTCTAAGTCTCAGTTTCCTCATCTGTAAAATGGGGATAGTAATATTACCTGTCTCATTAGGTGATGGTGAAGCTTAATTAAGATAATTATCACGGGGTGCAGGACCTGGCATGTAATAAGTGCTCCATAAATCAGCCATTGTTATCACCATGATTTTTTTTTCCAAATCACCACCAATAAATACATTTATTTGAGGAAGAAAGGGTCAAATCATATCAAGAACTTTTAAACTGGGTAGGACTAGGGACACTGATCTCCCTAACTTCTGGGTGTTCACAACTGCACAGGTAGCCAGATCCTGCACATGAGGCAACGCCGATTAAACCGATGAGCATTTGATGAGAGGATGCATTCTAAGCAGTCACGTGATTTCCCATTCAGGAGGTGCTGCCTTCCCTTCATATCAGAAAAGTAGTGTTGAGGAAAACGAAGACAGAACCTAGCAGTAGCCTCCTAGCCCAGGCCTGGACATGATGGTGACCTTGTGAAAGGGCATCTCACCCTACTGACAAAGCAGGAGACCCTGTATACAAAGCAGGAAAGCGATGCTCCCAGCTGAGCTGCAGGGTGAGAGCTGGGGGTGGAACCAGACCCCATGATCCTTTTCCCATCCAACCTGGGCCTCCACAAGCCACTCTGTGGGCCACTGCACAAGGCAGACTCAGCAAAGCTGAGTAAGGGAATCCTGCCCCAATTCCCCAGCCCCAGTCCACATTACCCAGGTGCAACGGGTGACCCAATCCACAGGCCACAGCGCCAGGCTCCCTGGACCCCCGTGTCCGGACAGACACATGGCAAATATGGAAACTGAAGCCCAGCTGGGCTGGAACACATCTAGGTGCTGCAGGGTTGGAGTGGTCTTACAGGTGCTCCAGGATCAGGCCTCACGCCAGGTGGCCAGGCTGAGACAGGCGATTTAGAGGTGATTCCAGTTACTCCAGGGCAAAGCATGACCCTAATGTCACCTGGAGAAAAAGCAGGCTGGAGCTTCAGAAGAGCTGGCCCTGCATACTCAGGTACTTCCCGCAGTGGATCTGAGATTAGAACACTGGGGACAAAAGGGGATCCAGCCTGCAGCTTGTGTTGGCTCATAGCCAGGAGACTGCCTGCCAGCATGCTCACTGCAATCCCCACCACAAACTTGGTGCCGCTCCAGATGGACAGGGCCTGGCTGAGCTGGGAACCTATATTCCAGGTGTTTCCCAGCCCCCCTGTCATCACACTGTCATCCATCAAGTAGGCACTGGTGAAGTGGGCCGACAGCATGATAAGCTGGAGCCTTCCTGCCAGGTAGCAGGTGTGAAAGGAAAATCAAAATTGTGTCAGCATTGCTAAGAGAGCTCTCTAAAATGGAGCCAGGAGACCATTAAGAAAGTGTGACTTATGCATGTCTCAGCCTGGATGGAATCTGACCTTTTGACCTGATGATGTCATCCAGAACACCTGCCAGAAACTCAAGACACTTTTTGGACCCTTACCCTAAAATAACACATGACAGTCTATCTACTTATGGGACCCGCACTCTAGAACAACTTGAGATTCCTTAAGGACAAATAGTTTCCAACTCATGTCAGAATCAATCACACTTCTCTCCAGGCAACTCTTAACAGCCTGGTGGCTGTTCGTCTTTCTAAGTCCCTGATGCTTTCTCTTCCTCTGAACACTCTTTCAGGGCTACCCGAATCTGTGTCTCCCGAATTGCAATACTTAAGACCCCAAATAAACTCTTTCCTTATTTGCAGCCTCCTGCATTATTTTTTGGTTGACACAGGATGTCTGGAACGCGCCCTGTGAGACTCCAGGGGAAACCGGAGTCAGATCACAGCGTATCTGTCCATACGTTCATTGCCATCAAAAACGTTATGAGTCTTATTAGTGAGAGTGAGTCCAGCCACCTCTATACACCCTTTTGTCATCTTCATAAAAGCCCTGAGTTCAGAAAGTTTCATGGCACTGACCATTAACAGGAAGATTCTGGGGCCCCAGAAGGCAGCCTGGAGGAGACACCTGCCCTTACGGGGTCTGGTTTCTCTGGGTGAGATGTATTTGAATTGTGTTGTTTTTCTGTCTCTCAGGCAG